GGATTTGAGCTCGTCACATTGGGGTTGTGAATTGAGTGCTTTGCCGACTGAGCTACCCAGGGTCGGCGGTCGGAGCACCGTAAAAGCGCAATCATTCGCGCGGCGAGCTAAGGCACTGTAGCGCGCTTCGTGGCGCTTCATGGCGCTGGATTGAATAGATTAAAGGCCGGTTCTCACATGCAGCGAAGCGCTGATGTAGCGCTCCTCACGTGCCGGTTGCTACTTATCGTCTGCCATGAGCAACAGTTTTGGCGGTGCAATACAAAGCTCGTGAACGCTGCCGTCAGCACGCGCTTAGCGCGAGGTGAGTGCTATGCTTGTAGCGCTCCGCTGCATGTGTGAACAGGCCTTAAATTTCACAGTACCGCCTAGCTGGTGCGTGCTAGGACGCACTTGAGCCAAAAAAGGCGGACCGTCGCCGCTAATGTAGTGTGTGGCGGTAAAACCGACACGCTGTTTACAAACAAGCCCGCGTTTGCCCACACCAGGTGTGGGCACTGCGCATGCGCAGAAACCGAATTCGAGTGAACTGAAGCTGCTGCGCATGCGCAGCGCCGTCGACAGCGCCACCGCAGCTGCGTGACGTCAGGGACGCGTGTTGGTCTATGTTTGTCTGCTTCCTGCGTAAGGGTTGCACTGACGTCAGAGCGCCGAGCTCTGATTGGCTACAATTTAAAGGGTAGTGTGTAGACATCAATTAGAGCTGATCAGATCTCGGCGTTCTGACGTCACTGCGAGAAGCAGACGAACTTGCGCTCCATTTAGGAGCGTGCTCGGTCCGGGGATGGGATATGCAATGATTTCAAAATGGCGACGTATCGCCGGCATCTAATAGTAGCGCCCGCGGCACGATCAAACGATGGCGGTACTTGGATAACTCAGGATATCCAGCGCTTTAGCCTTTCCTAGGGCTCCTGTATATAGCTAGCTACCGACGGTAGCAGAGTTGCGCATTCAGCCTCGGCGGGTGGCCGTAGCGCCGGCTTTCCGCACGGCGCTCGATGCTTTGCTCTTCACGTGATCGATCTCGGCGAATAGCAGCGCGGCGGCTAAAGGAAAACAAATGCGCAACTCTGCTCCCCCTTCGGGGGAGCATACCGAGGAACTCTATCCTTTTTTAGAGTCGGATATTGGGAGAGTTTGGCCAATCGGTGGAGCAAAGGCCGCTGCCAGCGCCGAATACTGCCCCACGGTTAGAGCGTAAACTAGAAGTGTGACACAGCGTCGACCAATCAGCAGACCGCGACATCACAATATTGCAAACGACATTCGAAGCATGAAATAGAAGCGTTCAATTTCGGCGTTTCCGTGACAGTTTGCTCTGGCAACTTTTCTTGGCAATGCGGTGGAGGGTACAGGCACGCGTTCCTCCCTATTGCATTTAGAGCGCTGGATAAGGCTGTGCGCGCGGGCTCTCCTCAACTTCCACTGCATTGCCAAGAGAAGTTGTTGCCGAGTATAAAACAGCGTCTCAGCTGAGACCGTCTGAAAGAAAACAGTGCAAAGGGTGGGGCGCGCGAGCGTCTCGAATGAGTCCCGCTCGGCTTTGGCAGTGCTTTCTTTTCCCCAGTCTCAGCTGAGACGCTGTTTCTAGCAAATCGAGCCTGGTTTCAACCGCACGTTCGTTTCTTCTACCGTTGAATATGAACGTGACGAAACCTTCACATGCACCAAGTTTTCAGTCACCAAGAGTTACACCTTTTTACCCTAGCGACTCTAAATCGGCTTAAATTAGTCGAGTCGTATCTTTAGGGCTCATGATCACCGCTAGGGCTGTTTCGAGGCCTGTGGTCGGCCTCGAGATGCTCGCCTATCCAAACCAATATATCGCCAAACTCTCCCAATACATGGCTCTGGCCTTTCCTGTAAGGCTGCGCTATCTTGCGGTGTGTGTTGGAAATGAAAGCGAATCTTCGGTGGGCGGTGCCGTCCAGACGTCCTTCCCTTCTTCCTCGAAAGGCCTATCACACATCCGTTGCTCACCTGGCTTTATCAACGTCATCAAGCTTGTATAAATTTTAACAAGTTAACTTAATGAATGGGGGCGATCAGTATGGATTGATGACAGGATCGATGCTGTGTATCTGTCGGTAAATTGCGCCATCTATCGTGTTTTTAGTATACCATAATTCGCACCGGACGTAATGTCGGAAGAAACAAATTTCGGTGAAAAAAGTATTTTCCTTAGATTATCTAGACATGCTGCATATATTCTGCTCCTCGTGCATATTCGGCACTTAAAAAAAAAAGTTCCTAATCAGCGCACATTGAAAAACATGCTTGTCCTATTAACGCATAAAGCCTGTATCATACAGAAGTCATTATTAACATGTGTCTTTCACAAAATTCGTCACGTTTCGTCATATGGCACAATCTTTAAAACAACAACAACAACAAAAACAACAGCAACAGCAACAAAAACAACAACGACAACGACAACAACGACAGCAGCAACAGCAACAGCAACAGCAACAGCAACAACAACAACAACAACTCCGCACTGCCCGCACCTATATATAGTACAGGGGTGGTTAGGCTGACATGGCCTAAGAGCCGCAAACAAAACCACAAAACCTCCAAGAGCCGCGGGGGGGGGGGGGGGGGGGGGGGTAACTTTTGTTCAGTGCAATAAACGAAACATGAACAACTTTTAATCTATTCAAATAAAAAGCAGTCCAACTGTACGTAAGCTAGCAGTAGCACGACACTACCAAACCACAACCTTTTTTTCGTTTTAAAACGCGTTCCATTTCTCCTTTTGGGGAAGTGCTCGTGTGACCGGGAGGGAAGCGGGAAAGTGGGAGGGGGGCGGGGGATAGGGGAAGAAGCCGCGAGCCGCAGCTTGGCCTCCCCTGATATAGTACGTACCACGTAAAATTGAGATCTTTCAATATGAATAGTATGCGAACTATGCAGTCCGGGAAATACAGTAGTCAAAGACTGCACGGCCGCGATGACCAAGATATGGCGCTGCAGGCAAACGATTTAATGAGTTGGCAGAACAGAGTAGTCCGCGATTCCATATTCGCATGTGCACGCGTGATTCTCTCCTTTTTTACGGAACGACGCATCCAGGCAAGAGAAAACATTTTCTAGGAGAAATGCCTGGAAGATAGGAAAATATAGCGTGCGCAGATTGTCCATCGAACAATGCGTTCGGGGCACACTAATTGTCACGAAGCCCAACTCTGCTGCATCTGTTATCAGTAGACCGAAGGGTCATAATCTCCCAGAGATAAAACGCAATGGGAAGTGAAAGGGGAGCAGGTATTCACGCGCGCTGGTTAGAGAACAATACCTGCGATAACCTAAATGAAATAACCGACAAGAGGGCGCATGTTATCCGTTAGCTTATTGTGTTCGTTTGTTTCAGGGTTTTGATTAGGATAGGAAGTGAAAGGCATGTTTCCAGGGACACAGGGACCGTGGCGTCATGTCTAAACAGAGAAACAACCAAACTCGAAACAAATCTGTTTACTCGTAAATGTATGGTACTTTATTTTGGTGCGTTATATTTTTTTATTTTGGATGCCTCGGTCCCAGCCGAGCTGTTTCAGACAGCTTTTTTCCCTTGTCTCCTTCAACATTGTTTTCGTTTTTTGTCGTGAAGGTATTATTATTATTATTGATATTGTTTTTGCTATCATCATCATCATCATCTGAAAAACAAAGCCAGGTCGTGGAAACAGGTCAACTACATCTGTAAACGAATCGCAAAGAGGACTCCGTTAGTTAAATTGGTAATTAAACAGAAATGAAAAGTAAAGAGACTTTCCCTGCCTGTCTTTTCAATGGAGATGACTCCATTCGGACGTTTTATAGAGACGCTGAATTTCTCACAGTTCGCTGAATAAAAAAATGTATATATTTTCTCTGAAAAAGCAAAATAAAGTTAATATTTACATAGGTAGTGAGGCTCATTTTGAGTATCCCGACGTGTCTCTGTTTCGTGCTTCTATTCCGGAACCACGTGTCGAAATAGAGGTAGGCTTCGAAAATGCTCGGTCCTTTTACTCACCACGAATCTCACGACTTCGGAAGTACGCCAAAATGTTTATTTTCTCGGGGAAAGTTTGTATTGAAACATATGTCTTTAATCCCGGCGCTTAAAACTATTTTTTTAAATATATTTTTAGTTTAGTGTTCTTAAGAGCGATTTCAAAACTTGCCGCTATTTTCAGGTTCGACATGCCAAATAATCTCAATTGCCCCTAACTCAAACTTTGTCTCGCCACGTAAATAATTTTCCGCTAAACATCTTTTTTTTAATTATTTTTTTTAGGGAAAAGTTTAATTTGTAATGTATGCTTTTTTATCTAGACACTAACAAATAATTTTTTTTTTAGTTTAGTGCTTTATAAGCGAGTGTTTAAAAACATAAATGAACACAATAATGATATCTTGCACGACCTCATTAAGAACGTAACCATCCCTATTAAAAAGCGAGATCAAAGACCCCTTTTTGGGGTCTTTGGTCATAAACCAGAGAAGAAAGCGCGAACCAAGTTCGGACAATGCATAAACCTAACACCGGCGAAGCCTCTCATCCGAAACTTTCACTCTTTCTACACAACCAGCGAGAGGAAAAGCGCCGGTAGCCCTTTCCCATTTTCTCTCTCGCTCTCAAAATGGCGCTACCCACGATAAAACTAGGGTGCCTTCATGTGGCTCCCTAGATAAAACGGTCTATAGCCCGGAATATACGGTATATTCTTTTAGTGCTTTTTTTAACAGCAGCTCAAAACCCTAGGGCCACTAACGTGACAAACATCGATATTCGTCTTCCAACGACACATTTGCTTTTTTTTTGGTTTTGTTTACCCAAGCGTTTTTTTTTTTGTAGTAAAGGTTACACCTAAAAAAAAAAGTTGCAAAGAAGGTTTATTTGATTTGTCTTTTGAACAGTGTTTGTAGTTTGTTGCTATAGTGATACGTTCCGTTAATCGACCGTAAAAAGACAACAACAAAAACAACATAACGTCCCATGTGATCCGATTCAGGGCGCTGGTATTCCTGGCCCACGGGTATGCGGAGCACAGCGGCGTTCCCTGCTACGAGACCCTGGCCATGGCCTTGGTGGGCCTGGGCTGCCACGTCTTCGCTCACGACCACGGTGAGTTTACCCACGGACAGGAAACGCTACACTCTTCCCGGATAGTTGTTGCTGAGCGGCGGGTTGAAAGGTCATAACCGTGACGCAAACGAGACTATATACGAGAACCGCAAACTCATATAGACAGTCGCGGTGGAAGGTGGTACCTTGTGCCTGAAGCCGCGGTCACAATACCAATACACCATACAAAAGATATTCGGTAGACACTGTTTAAGTCGCGCTTCTTCCTTGAGCCTGTCACCTTGGACACGCACACGAAAAAAAGACTGTCTTTAGGCATGTTCGTAAGCATACATATGCATAAAGTAAACACACATGCTTGAAGGCGTTTCCGCAGATAATTCCTTCATTATGTCTGCAGAAAGTTTGACTGCGGCTTTAGTGGAGCTTCAGCAACTGTTCATATATAATCGGGAGGCTATCGGGGATCATAAAATAAGCACCCAATGACGCTGGTAGGATTTATTAAAGGAATATCGAAAAATCGGCAATCGAATAAGAAAAACAGAAAACAACTTTTTGTTGCGAAAACTTTGTTTTCCTCCGTTTCCGTGAGGGCGAGGTATTTTCGCGCCCAAGTCCATACGGCGCGTTGTCTCATCTATACGCAAAAGAAAAAAAAAAAAAAAAAAAAGAAAGAAAAAAAAAAAAAGAAAGAAATATTTGGCAGGAAAGAAAATAAAAAAAAGCAAAAGTTCTGCGCCGAGCTTTCGTGACCTTGGGAGAAACATGCAGTCGCGGTTATCAGACGCCCTCGTGTACGCCATTTTCCTTCGCTCAATCATGTTGTCAAAACAAGTGATGAAGGTCTTCCGTGAGCAACTGCGCGATTTACGGGCGTTTAGCGGCATAGCCACGCGTGGACTACGGTAATGGTGTCGTTCAGCCGGCGCAGCAGGAACTACTCGCGGGCACTACTCACAGGTATCCCATATATGCGTTGTTAGCAACCATTTTCACGCTTGATGGGATATCAACTACCATATAGTCATAGATGCACCATTGCGGACGGTATGCGTTCAAACAAATCCTTCGTGGTTCTTTGGTGTACCTGCCAGTTTTTGAGCGAGCTGTGATTCGGACTAGGAACAGAATGCGAAGTTGAGGTTCCATATACTTCGAACTATGTGACAAACTCAAAGATAGAATATCTTGTGAGAAACCGCAGACGCAGAAAAAGGCCGAATCGGGCGTTTCAGTTCCATATTGTCCGCGGGGGATACAAGTTTCTAAACAAGGTTTAATGGGTAAATTTCTTAACTTCAAAACTTGATTCTGTTTTTGTTAGGTGATACAAAGTCGGTGTTTAAGGCCTATTCGAACTTGAGTCACCAGTTAAAAAGGCTTAATTTGCGGTGGCAAATCACCCATGACATTAAAAATAATACTGTGTTTGTTTAGCAACAAAAAAGAAACTAATCATTACATTTTAAGGCCACTAGGGACCTGTCTGCCTCTGAGGAATGCCGACACTGCTACACGCGTGAACCAGTGTCGGCAGTACGACCGCTAGCCTGAGGTCTTTGAAGTGCATCCTGCAGTAGTGACTCTCCAAAGGCATGCGCCGGTACCATGCTCATCTAAATAGAAACGGATAGGGAGGGGTAAAAGAATCGAACCTAGGAGTGATCTCTATCAAAGTCATACTTGGGGGTTTTAAGTGTGAAACCAACGAAGGGCATCTGGCACGGGCTCAGCGGAGACTGAGGATTAATTTAGACCATCTGAGGGTCTTTCGACGTTCAACCGAAATCTCGGTTACTTGACGCCTTCTGCGGTACCTAGGGATCTGTAGGCCGGGGCTTTTGCCTCAAAGCCACCATGGCGGCTGAATTATCTCTGATGTCTGGAGTTATTTTATGCGTTTCTTTTTAGTTGGTTTCCAACTCTGTATTCTTACTGTGGTCCTCCGTGCTTCATAATGCAGTGGGCCACGGCAAGAGCGAGGGTCCTCGAGCCATAGTGGACTCTGTGGACACGTACGTGCAGGACCTCTTCACCCATCTGGACACGGTCCGGCAGAGGTATCCCGGAAAACCCGTCTACCTCTTCGGACACTCCATGGTCGGTGCACAGTGGACCCGCTTCTTCCGTCACATTTCCCTTATTTCCTTAAACTTTATCTTTGCTATGGAATGTTTAATGAGACGGGTGACATCCGTTCCTGGACTCAAAAAGACAAAATGTAGACGAAGGGGCTTCGTTGCACGCGCTAGCTCAACTACGCAATTCTGAAGATCGTTTTACCAATGGACACTTTTTTTTTGTCAAAGAAAACGGAAAGACGTCCCTTCTTGTGTGAACTTCGAGGGACAAGGTAACCCGCATCGTGCACAACGACTTGAAAAGAAACTTCTGGAAGACTCAGACTGGCCTCACGCTTTGCTAAGAGACTTGGTTACATTGCGCCCAGTATCCTCGGTTGGTTGCCAGTCCGAAACTTGCAAGAGGTTCTTTTCAATGCCTTTTCTTACCAGCTTCGACTATACATTCGTATTTTGTTCAAACGTGTGCGCTAAAACTCCGTGGTCCGACCTTCGAGATGATTTAAGGTGGGACACTACCTTGAATTGCACCTTTTTTTTAAAAAAAATACATATTCAGAACTGCAAAGTTTTGGCATGTATGGATAACAAAGAACACTCTCACGAAGTCTTGTCAATGTCCACTGACAAACAATGTCAAAAATAATGATTCTTTATATGTTAGTGAGGTGTGCTGCACTGCGTAGCACTCGTCATCCACAAGGGAAAATAGCCGAAAGCAGTGTCAGTATATCAGGAGAAGTTTGAGGAAAACATCACCTACACTGGTGGACAGAATTTCTGGCATTTAAGACGCAAAAATAAATTTTCAAAACGTCATCATGAAACTTCAAGTGAATTTATCTGAGCTTCACTTTTTAGTGTCAAATATCAGTTCAGGGAAGCTATCATTTCATAATCAAATTATGCGTGCAGATATATTTTGGCTTTTCTATATTGAAATTTTCTGGAGAACACGACCGTGAACTCACTTTCTGCATTTTTATGCTCTTTTGTTATGAAAAGTTTATATCTCTTTTAAATCAAATGTACACTTAAAAAACGTTTTTCCATATTTGTTGTGAGTAAATTTTATAGGTTTTGAAATTTGTTTTCATAGTCGTCTGAAGCAAGTATTCTGCTGTATGTTCCAGCAAAAAAAACTGGCCATTTTTATTACCCTTTCTAAACGATAGCCTTCCTCAGCAGATACACTTTTTATTATGAACTTTTATGTAACTCACACTGGGATAAATTTATAGGGTTGAAAATTTCCACAGCATCCTTGTCCAGTACTATGAGTACCTCCTGCAAATTTCATGCAAATGAGGCAAACGGTTGAAAAGTTAGTATTCCGGAGTAGTGTTTCCCTTTAAGGCGAACCGTCACGGCAATCGCCTTTACCTTGGCTAAAGCGCTTCGTTGAAACATTAAAGTTCATTGAACCTAACGTTCACGTCGAGAATTATAAACGGATGTAGAGTTTCCCCCCCTCCTTCGTACGTACCATGCATGATTGCAACACGCTAATGATAGAGGATATAATCCCAAGGTCTCGCGGGGAATATCACGGCTGCAAAGGCGCTCGTGATTACAGACTGACCACATCCGAGGTTGATATACGCAACGCCCGGCGGACGATTATGCGTCTGCCAACCTCCTTTGCTTACTCCTTATCGTAAGTACAGTGATAGACGTCAGCGCAGCACGTTGCCAAGGCTTTCCGTATGTCCTCTCCGCGCCACGTGTGCGCCCCCCTCGCCAATTCAACGCTATGGTGACACCGTTGCTCTTATTGTAGCTGTTAGGCGCGCCTATTATCGATGCGCAGCTGGCGTTTAGAAGTTACCGTAGCGGTATTACAGCTTCGATATTTGAACATAGTTTGTTGCTTCGTGCAAAATGGCGCCTCTTACTTTTGTCCTTTCTTGTCCCGGTCTTCGCATAGAGGCCCTTGCAAAAATCGCCTTCTGAACGCTACCATCTTTGTCTGCTGGGCTGTGCAACGCCTTCTCAGCATGCAATGTCGATCTGATGTGTGGTATATATAGGACGCTGCGCATGCGTGAACAGCTCAGTGACTCAGCATTTCTTGCTTAAGTGATAAGCGATGGAAAAGTCCATTCGTGTCTTATTATACGTCTTTCAAAATTCAATGAAGTGGGTGCTTAATATATATATATATATATTTTTATTGCGTGTGGATACGCGTAAGGAACCATTGGAAGATTCCATGGTCTTAATACTGGTTCCAAAATGCAGACAGGCACATAGGCATCTGTAATGTTGTCAAGGAATGTATGCGCTGCTTCGACCAAACGCAAAAATAAACTCTACACTCGAAGCGAGTGCAGGCAGGGTCGAAATGTCTGCGGTGACGACGGCAATTCGCAGGGATATCCACTCCAAGGTTAAGGGCGACAAAATCGAAAACAAGGTGGAAGCGAACGGCCGATTGCAAATCGATATATAGCTTTCTCGAAATTCCCAAAACTCGGAAACCCAGTTTGTTATCGGTATTTCTCGAAAAAAAAAAAAAAACTTTTTCTTGTTTTTGTTTTTTGTGCGTGCTCGTTATTTATCTAAAGCGTGGTTTGCGGTGTGTGGTGAGGGTGGGTTTTGCCGTTTTTTTCTTTATTAGGAAAAGGGAGATATTCGATGTGAGGGGATCCGACTTTCTCCTTAACGACTGCAGTAGACGCATTCTCCAAAACAAGAACAAAAACGAATTTCGTTTTGTTTGTTTGTTGGATAAATGGCTGCACCTCTCCGCTTAGTGTCGCCAAACCGATTTGTTGTCGGATTTGGGCTAACTCGCGTTATGGAACACGTGGCCTTGAAACATTCCGAGACAGGGTTGGTTACTTCGATTGCAGTTCACCCTATTTTTGGCCTTAAGGTGCGGTTGTAAAAGCGAAAGTTATATAAGTGTGTCCAATAACCACTCGAAAACACAAAGGTGATATATAAATCTATATACGTGTTATACCCAATAGAATTTATATATGTTCTAATATGTTTTTTAGACAAATGATATATGAAAAAAATATATATTCAGTGATGAAGACAACATAAATGTGTTCAATAAACATATGATAACATGTAGGATCCCATAGGAACTTTTAAACGTCTTTTATGTATCAGGGCTTTCCTACTGCGTTTTGCTTAATCACAGGCTGTGACGTCATAGAACTCGGAATACTTTGAAATCAATTCTATCTGAGGCACGCATCTTTATGAAATAAGACAATACTAGACTCCACCAAGCGTAATCCTTAAGATCGACGTGGTTTAGGCATCTCACCGAAAACTGGCGGATTCGAAGAAGTTTTGAAGAGCTGTTTTCATGGGGAGTAAACAGCCCACGTGACTTCCAGGGTCTCCGACATTACTTTCCTTTGTACTGTTTGTTTTTTAGTTTGGTCGATCTTTTTAGGCTATTTTTGACTCACAGGTGAACAATTTATGGGGTTGTGTCTTTACACTATAAATTTGCAAATTGCGCAAGAAAAAAGAAAAGAAAAAAGAAATCGGTAGTAGTAACACTGAGCGCGTACTGGATAGCTGTAGTCGTCGTTTCCTATTGGCGCCGAGAAAACGAAGCAACTGCCATCTAGCTAATTTTTATGGAACCTTTCAAATGAGGATAATTCGAACTTTAAAGCAATATATGTATAGGCACGAGTCGCGTAAAAAAAAAAAGGGGGCTTTGGAAAAAAAGAAAATGAAAAGGACAAACAAGCGGGTGGTTTTATCGCATGAAGAAACTTCTGTGCCCGCGTCAAATCCCTGCCGAGCCGCCAATAGCAGACTGTAAAAACCAAGTGCACCACTCTTACTTTATGGCAGCCACTAACTGCGATAATGTCTCGGCTCGGCAGGCTCTCTCACTTAGTAGAAACAAAGTCTCGCATAAAACCTACTCTTTTTTTTTTTTTTTTTTTTTTTTTTGCGGGGCACTCGCTCAGCATGTCAGCCAAGACTCTGGTCTTAGGGCGGATGAATCTCTTGTGATTTTAATTCCGACACACTCTGTACACCCCCCCCCTCCCCCAATCCAAAACAAGCAAACAAACAAAACGAATGTAGCGCTAGCAGTCCGACCAGTAGCCCAAGTTTTACGGATAACCGTCATCTCATTAAAAAGTCATAAGTAATTTTCTGAAAATTTCGATGGGAAAATGGGGCCTGCTTTCGGCCGTTTTTGGTAACTGGCGCCATTCAACTCCATGCATCTGTGAGAGCTCCTTCGGCCGACATTTTCCCATTGAAGATGTACTAAAATCGCTTATAACTTTTGATTAAGACAACGGCTAAAGGCCCGTTCACACTCTTGCGACTGCTTGCGACCTCTTAAACCTGGGTTCCTTAAAACTTCTTAAACCAGAGAACACACTGGCGCCATCTATTGGGAAGCAGTGTAAACTCGGCGGTCCGGCATATTTTTTTTTATTTCTCGCGCAATATCCTTTCTTTTTTGGCTCGAAAAGCTTTTGTCAATGTTGTAAACGAGCCTTTCTATGGGTATTACGCACATTTGACCTCGGAAATCCCGCAAAACCTTCGCTTTTGTGAAATGCAGTTCTAGGGTCACCGCATAGATGGCGCCACTATGTCAGTGTGTTCCCTCATTCTAGAAACATTTAAGAAGTTGTAAGAGATCTCGTCTCTCTCAGTCGTACTCGGTCGCAAGAGTGTGAACGGGCCTTAACTCTGAAACTTTTGACTACTGGTTCGAACTGCTTGCACTACATTCGGGGGGAGAATGAGCTTTTGGTGATGCGTAGTTTATATTATTGCGGTGAAAAAACACCGGTACGTTATTTTTGGGACACCCTGTATATATATATATATATATATATATATATATATATATATATATATATATATATATACCGATGTTGACGAGGGAGAACGGCATGGCGTGTCCTTTATGAACGCCGGCCTTCAGCACGCGCTCCTTGCCTTCCGCCGTGCTGGTTGTCCGGACTCGCTCGAGGTTCACGAGACGAAGAAGCACCGTCGAAGGTAAGGAGCTCG